GAAAGACAAAAGATATACGGAATAAAAAGGAATGAAAACAAAGCAAAAAAAAAGAAAGACAAAGGATCATGTTGCATCATATATCCAGTTAAAAAGGAATATCAAAAATAGAAGTAGTAATAGGAGCAGGATTGATGGTTGTGATTTGTAGTTATCATTGTATTATTTTATTCAACAGAAAGATTGTGGTATTTAGAAAATTAATTAATTTCCAGGAACTAATTTAAATTGTAGAAATTGTTCAGTTTTAATAAAATTTAAAAATTTTATTAAAAAAATTAAAATGTATTACTTTCATATGTGGAGATAAAATGATAGCGACATTTAATGATAGAAAAATAGATCATGAAAATTGATTATAACGTTCAAGAACAAATGCACAGTTATGTATGCTTATAGGAAGTATCATGAGAATTTATGAAAGCCTATACTTTCTAATTCTCATATAAGCTTCCAAAGTTCATACATATTTATAAAATTTAACAAAAATTTTAAACACGAATTTGGTTGGTATTATTCTGAAGCATAATTTAACTAAATTAATTAACATTGAAAATGAGATAATTTAGGTTTTGCATTCTCCGCACTGAGTTTCCTTGTAATTGACAAATAATTGTGGATGGTCGAATATTCGCTCGCCTCCAATCGGGTTCTTTGCATTCATAAATGAGTGGCTCGTTGTGCGTTTTTCCTTTATTCTACATATTTTGTATAATTTTTCATGCTGTCAACCCATATGTCAACATTCATAATTTCACTTTTCTGAGAAACTTCCATTGTTATAACATTTATTGTTTCAATTAGCATTCTATTAAAATGTTTGTTAGCTAATTAACGTAATTTGAAAATTGATGTTAAAAATATCAGCGCCATAAAATAAACTTTTCACATTGCATTTCACTTGAATTGCTAGAAAATGTTCACTTTTCTTGCATGTGTTAGAAGCAAAAAGTTTATTTTCAATTTTACGTCTAATGGAAGGATCGTACAGTAAGAGATAACTGTTGTAACGAAATTTCCTGCTATGGCGAGTTCAGTTTCGGCCATCAGTTGTCACTTTTGTTTTTTTTTTCTCTCTTTTTATAAACAAGTCTGCATACATGGTATTGTTTATTTGATTTGCTTAGGATTTCCAGTAAATATAATCAATTATTATTTACTTTGTGGAATGGTAACGATATGAAACTTACGTGAGAAGTTGCGTGTTCTTACGTGGACCTTAACACTATCACCATTGATACTTTCACAAGTATTGGTGGTAATTACGAATAACAAAAAAATCAAAGTGTTGTTTATTTCTCACTATATCTGCCTTACTATCTCATCGGTTAGGATAGTTTCTCTAATTCTCTCCAAAACTGCTGAATTCTTAACGCTGTGTTGCGATGAAATTGATGTATAATAGTGATGCAAAATTTGAAATTCTTTTTCCGGATTATGTTATGGTATCCGGAAAGTTTAGTTTAGACTATGAATTTTTAACTTTTCATTCCTAGACATCTTTTTGATAGTCCCGCAAATAACCACATCCAAAGGTGAATGTTTTGATTACCGGTGTAATCGATTTTTTGAATTTTTGAAATTTTGAAAGTGAACTATTAGTTGAACAGAAAGAGATGACTGTTACTATCTGTGGAAGATGAGCATTTAGTTAAGCTAATGTTTTTACATACCAACAATCATTGCATATGAGCACAGCTTGGCAGTAATGATACATATGATAAGCGAAAATTGAAAAGCGAATTTTGAGTGGAAGCCGGAAATGAAATTGAAATTTAAAAGTGAGATTTTAATCTTTGGGTTAGGTGCTTGTTTCATTATTTCAACTACAATTCTGTTTTCCGGCGTGATGTTTCTGTTCACATTTCAGACATCCTTTCTTTTCAATTATTGATTTTCCCTTTCCTTGGCTGCATTTTTGGATCAGTTTTCTAAATTCAGCAACTTTAAATAAATTCACGATGAACAAGAAAATGAATAGTGAGTGGATTTCTGTAGCTAACGAAGAATTTTTAATGTTCGATTTGTTTTTGAGCTATTATTCCTTTTAATCTTAAAACAAAAAGTAAAATCACTTTGATAAAAAAAGAAGAAACATCATCACCTTATTTTCCATTACTGACGTATAAAAATCACTTAACATTTCACTCTGAAATTCATTCATAACAATGCAAATCAAGTATATTTTCTTTTTAAAAGTCGATGATCACAACTTTCAAAGAATAGATCGTTGGGCGAAAATTTTGAAATAACCATAAATACTTCAAGTCATTAGCATTCGAGTAAAAAAGAAAATCCCAAACAAAACTATTTTCCATACCGTATCCGTTATACCGTACATTGAACTGGTATCCAATGATAAATTGTTCGTTCGATTGTCGCTTGTTTTTTCATCTTGTGATTTCGCTTCCTTCCCTGACTGTTTTGATCCTATAAAAGAATGGTCTTAGACTAATCGAGAAAGACGGGAGTAACATTTCAATGACGTCATCAACACTAGCTAATCGCTATGATGTTGAAATTCATGGAGGTAATTGGATGAATCATGCATGAATTTTGAAAATAATTGAATGAGTAACATAAAAATATTTGAAAAGGCAGGCAAAAGTTGAGGGATAAAGGAATTAAAACTTATATAATTTTCTTTCTTATTTTTTCTTTGTTACGAATGAATTAATGAGGGGAGATTTTTACTGGGAGAGATTTAAGTTTTAATTCCTTTATTAAAAAATATCCACGCAAATTTTGTGTTGTTTTTTTTTTTTGATTAGTTCGTTTCTTTAAAAAAGACGGACGTATTATGAAGTAATTTTTTTTTTTTTTTAATTCCTAATACTTCGTCCTACATTTATGATTCCGTGCATTTGTTATAATTTCGTGCAGTTTTTATTATTCCATACATATTTTGTAATTCTGAGCAGTTTTCGTCACTTCACATTATGATTCCATTCATTCCATTCATTACGTGATTCCATTCACTACTTGTGATTTTTTTTTACCTGTTACATCTTCCGTATTGATTGTGGCATCAGAAACCGGTGATTTTTTCTACTATTATGAGTAATGCCAACTGGAAGCCTTCTGACATTAGATGGGGACATCGAATTAGATTGAGATTTCTTAACAATTGCAACCTCATTATCAGTTGTGAACTCATCTCCAGTCACCGATTTGTCTTCAAGTGTAGTAGATTTGAGCATATTTCTCTTTAAAAAAAAGGCCATATAAATCTGATGCATAATTTAAATTTGTTGATTTAATTACGATTTTTACTGCCAATATTTCATCCAATTAAGCAACTTTTCTAATAAAGATTTAATCATAACCAAATAATGAATAAGTTGTCGAAATTATTCCGTTGGTCATGTCATATAATCAATTTGAAACAATTATATATGCAATGGTAATATCAAAACTTAATAGTTTTTTTGGTCAGAGAATATGAAAAATATTTCATATTCTTCATAAATGATCTTGTTACTTACCTTTGACCTGCTGCATGTGCAAATAGTATAAAACATTGCCATTATTGAAAAGGTAATGATTTTGAAGAGCATTAAAGAAATTCCCTATAATATCGGAGTAGTCAATATCGCATTTTACCATAATGAAGAGGTAAAATTAATTGATTAAAAATATTAACTGGTAGTAATATCACTATAAGAAGTAAATGCTGAATGAGAAATCAGCAAAGGAAATAATATTCCAACCGAGAGTGTGAACATTTAATCTTCATTAAGCGGTATTAAGGCACAAATATAAATAGCATATGTGTGACATTAAACTATATTTATAATTTTGTTTTAACTACAAAATATGCAAATTTCCAGTCAGAAATGGGAAATTCATGAACTAATTCATATGTATTTATAAGCTTCTAAGTGTAAAACAGAACAAAGATTAGGGGTGTAATTCACTGATAACGAAACATTATATTAACTTGTTTGACTTTGTTTAATTCATTTCCTAAACAAGTAACGCTAAGCATTTCAAAGTATCACTTATGATAAGTGATCACTTATGAACACTTATGATAAGTGATCACTTACAGAATTATCACTTATGTAATTGATTTTTTGTTTGATTATGTCTAAAAATTAAATTAAAAGCGGCAATATTTTGTAATATTTTATTTTGCAAATTTCTTACGAAATGATTGTTTTTCGAAATAATGGAATTGTTTTTAAATAATTTATGGAATTTTGCAATAAAAAATTTGACGATAGCATAATTTCTAAATGATAGATTAAATTTTAGATTGTTATAAAAGCATCGAAAATTTTTTGCTCAAATAATTGATTACTGAATAATTGTTTGCTAACTAATCTTCCCAATTGCCTTTTGTATTTTCCAATTTTGATGAAAGCTTTCGTCTTTTTGAAAAAAAAAAAAATTCTAAAAGACGGTGCAAAATCATATGCAGGCATTCCCCAAGAATAGAAAATAACGCTGATTTTTAATCATTGAAAATAGCAAATTATTCTTAGCAGAATACAGTGGAATGGAAAAGATAACTGGACAGAAAGAGGACGAAATAGAAAAGAGAGACAATTTGAGCCATTTTTAAATAGTCACTGACAAATTGAATTTATCCATTTTAAGTTAATCAGAATTGCTATACTGATATTACTTTTGCAATATTTCCCGCTTTCATTCCTTTTACTTAGTAATATAATGCGAAAAAAAAAATTTTTTTTCTTTAACTTCTAATTAAGAGCGAGAGAAAAAGTTGATAAAAGACGAAACATCACTAAATAACTTTAATAAAAACCATACTTATATAATGATACACAACATGGATAATTAAGGGATCAGTAAATTGTTATCTCGAAAATGCTTAACAGAAGAATAATGAAATTCAAAAAAAAAAAAAAGTGGAGCAAATTAGGCTATTGTTTCAGGCAATTTTTTCTTGCTCGTAATTAGACGTTGAAAAAAAAAAACAAATCTTTTTGAAATTTAAAAATTAAAGATCTAGATTTTAAAAATTTGAAGATTTCAATGCATTTTATGATTTAATTCAAATTTTTTCGTCTCTACTATCTTTTTTAGTAATAAAATTGACAAGGTAAAAGTGTATTAGAAATTGACAGCACAATTTTTGATTTAGCCATAAAAAAGAAGTAGTTATTCAAGTTGATAATTATAATATGTTTATTATTGCAATAATTATTTGTATGAAAAGAAATGATGAAAATTTTAGGCTATGAATGAATCATTTCAATTGTTTTTTTTTTTTCATGTTTTCCAAGTGAAATTTCCATGTTCAATTAGATTTCATTTCGATGATAGATGGTTATTTTGTTCTTTTTTTTTGCAATATTCGTTTTTTTTTTAAATTATTTTTTTCAAAAACTGAATTATGGTATAATTTGCAAATTTTATCAGAATTAAATCAAATAATAATATTAAAATATTGTGGAAGCATTCAAATAAAACTAATTTTTGTTTTCATTTCAAATAGACAAAGGACGGAGAAATTTTGTCTCACATTCTTTCAGCATTCTTCCAAATTTCGTCATATTTTAAAAGAAATGATTCGTGGACTTATCAAAAATTTAAGTTAAAAAAGAAAACAAAACATACATGAAGGTGACAGTAATTTTTTTGTTTTTTTTTTCCGAGATAATAAAGTTCATATAGCAATGACAAATATTATACAGTAAAGTTAGGCTGTTTTTTTTTCTCGTTTTTTTTAACACTTTTAAAAATTCATGAAGCATTTATAAATTAAATTAAAATTTTAAAAATATTTGGAAATGTTATAGAAAGTGGGGAAAAGAAATTTCCAAGTAAGAGTTAGATGATATTCGTGATTGGTAAATCTAAAACGATTTGTCTTTGAAGAGATTAATAATTGAGATGAAAATGGTTAAAGGTGGATTAATAAATTGATGAAAACGGTAACTGCAAAATATGACCTAGTTTTTAAATATCCGACTTATGTACTAAATATAAAGAATGAATAGGAACAATGTAATATTAGAAAATCCCAAAATTGAACCTATTTATATTATTGTTCCTGATTGCACACTTTTTGATTATTTGTTTTAAAATATTTAAAATTACGAAATTTTTGAATTTATTCCTCTAAGAAATGGTAAATGTAAATTGTATATTCTATTTCAAATTTTATTGGATCGATTTTTTTTTCTCTGTTTTTTTCTTTTTTTTTTTTGCATGCAATAAGAAAATATGTGAATATTTAGTGAAGAATGTGCAAAAATATGAAGTAGTAGAATTTTTGCGAATTTAATTCAAATCATATGCTCGCAAAATGAACGTAAAGACAAATGAAATGAAATGAAATTAAATTAAATTAAATTAAATTAAAGGCTACGAAATCCTTTCACAAATTTTTTCACATTTTGATCATTATCAAAAATTCTTGTATTGGTAAGATGAAATTTGAATTTAACTTCAAGGATATTACAATGCTTAATAATTTTTGTGATTTGCATTATTTCATCACTTAATATTTGTGTGATTTGTAATGTTTTTTTATTAATAATTATGTAATTATTGATATTTCAGCATTTAATATTTGTGTTATTCGACATATTCCATCATTTAGCATTTACCATGATCATTGAATTTGTAAGTAATTGTTTGAGCATAAGTAATTGTTTGAGTATAATGTTTCGTAACTTAATATTTACGTGATCCATCATATTTCCGTAGTATTTGCATATTATAATGTTTTCCTGTCATATATTTGAGTATAGATAGTAATGTTT